TAAACACTTTTCTCTCACTTCTGCTGACTGTCGTATGCGGAAGCGTTCCGGCGGATGACGTAGGACGTATGTGTCGCACGCACGCCTCTGAGATATGCTAGTCTCATGAGTTTAAGGAAGCAAAGTTTCCTTACTTTAGCAAAGGAAAACCAGTCTCCTCTTGGCTTATATCGAAATCCTGACATTTTTCTTTACAAATCCTCATTTTGTGCTTCAAATTCATGACCGGCATTTTGTTTTGTTCTCTCTCCGTGTTCGTCACAAATCACGCAACGCCGACGCCCTACGTCATCCGCGTATGACAGATAGCGGAAGTGATAGAAAAGTGTTTATGATGTTTGAAATATGGATATTTTTCTGACAAAAACGCATGGATTCGCTATAGGAGGCCTTCATTCACCCGCCGGAGCCATCTGCGGCACGTTTTATTATGGATGTGCGTGCTTTATTTAACGTGTTTTGGACTGTTAAACAGAAACACCCGCCCACTACAATAGCTTTTCGTACATAACGTGGTGTAGTCATGAGCTGCTAGTTCACATTTAAAAAATGCTTCTACAAACAAAGTTTCATCTGCAGATATGGTCTTGTTTAGGGATCTGTGCCTTTGTGCATACAGACATCTGACTGCTAAGTAGTTATTGTGTTTCTCAGCAATAGTGTGCACCCTTAATTTACAGAGAAAAGAAGGTCCGGGAAAAATCTGTAGATGGAAAAATCTCTTAGTGCATTTTGCTTTTTTTGTACTTGTTACTTTGCACTTTTTGTCAGAAAATGTTCATTTACTATTTATTCAAGTTTTTAAGGTATCTAATATTTTGATACCTAATTTCCATGATCTAAATATTCTTAAAAATTAAAAGTTTGTTGTCATTTGGAAGTGTGTAGGCCTTCTTGCATTATTATGCTGTTACATTATGATTATATATTCAGTGGCATAAAATGGTCTTTAAAATGACAATAATATCGCTTATCGCAATTATTTCTGGGGCAATATATCGCAAAACAAAAAGTTGTTATCGTGACAGGCCTAATCCATCTCATAAAAGTGAGTTTGAGCAAATGATTATTGCAGGGTACAAGATAGTAATGGTAGTAGTAGCCCAATTTAGAGTAATAATGCATGGCTCAAAACTTAAGCACCTTCTCAAAACAGTTCTCAAGGATGCTTTTTGTTTATGTTTGCTGACATAAGCAGGAGGCGCTTTGGGAGCTGGAGATATAGCAGTTTCCCCGTTAACGGCTGTAATCAAATAAGCGCTGCTCACAAACGCTATCAGGCATTACAGGAAAGACAAAATGAAAATGACATCGAAGCTTTTCTGAAGACAGTCGGTTCTTTTCAAAGATACATTCATATAAAAACACCCGCGCTGCATTTTAATTTTGAAATGTGGAGCGCTCATTTTATTCAACGAAGTATAAGCCTTTTGGAAAATCTATTTGTGGCGGTCAGTTTTGATAT